CTACATACAAAATGTAAAACTTTTAGAATAAAACATAGAATTGGTCATATGATCAAAGTTAACTAGTGATTAAGTCATGTTGATAACATGACCTTCTGATATGTGATGAAAAAGGCAATTAATTCACCTCAATGGTATTCTTTCCAAAATCCCACAACTCAACTATTATCAAAAGCAAAACAGAGACAAACCCAAATTGAACGACATTCTACAAAATACCTGATTCGACCTCCTCAAAACTGTTAAGGCGATGAAAAATAAGGAAAGACTGAGAAACTTTCAAAGACCAGAGACTAAACAAACCAAAAAGACATGATGACTAAATGCTTGGATCCTAAAACAGAAAATAGACTTTAATGGAAAAACTAGTTAAAAGTTAAGCTAATAACAAGGGACCAATGTTGGTTTCGCAGTTTTGACACATATATCATGGTAATATAAGCTGCTAACAGTAGGGAGAGCTGGGTGAGGATAACATACTAGAACATACTGGACTATCTTTGCAACTTTCTATAAATGTAAAATAAACCAAAAATTTTTTTAAGTTTATTTTTAAAACATATGAGAAAGCTCTGGGACCCGGTGCAAAGAGTTCTTAGACATGGCACCAAAACATGACCCATAAAGTAAAAAATTAATAAACTGACAGGACAACACACCTATTACAATGGCTAAAATAAAAAATACTAGCACCAAGTGCTGATGAGTACAAACAGCAACTGGAACTCTTATACATTGTTGGTGAAATGTAAAATGGTTCAGTCACTCAAGAAATCAGTTTGGGGGGCGCCTGGGTGGCTCAGTCGGTTAAGCATCTGCCTTCAGCTCAGGTCATGATCGTGGAGTCCCAGGATCGAGTCCCACATCGGGCTCCCTGCTCAGCGAGGAGTCTGCTTCTCCCTCTGACCCTCCCCCCTCTCATGCTCTCTCTCTCTTATTCTCTCTCAATAAATAAAAAATCTTTAAAAAAAAAAAAAATCAGTTTAGCCATTTTTTTTTAATTAAGTTTTTAATTCCAGTATAGTTAACATACAATGTTACACTAGTTTTAGGTGTACAATACAGTGACTCAACAATTCCATACAACACCCAGGGCTCATCATGACAAATGTACTCCTGAATCCCCATCATCTATTTCATCCAATACCCCCACCCACCTCCCCTCTGATAATCATCAGTTTGTTCTCTATAATTAAGTTTGTTTCTTAGTTTGTCTTTTTCCTTTTGCTGGTTTGTTTCTTAAATGCTACATGAGTGAAGTTATGTGGTATTTCTTTCTGACTTATTTCACTTAGCACTATAACCTCTAGCTCCATCCATGATGTTGCAAATGGCAAGATTTCATTTTTTTATGGCTGAATAATATTCCTGTGTGCATGCACACACACACCATATCTTTTTTATCCATTCATCTATCATTGGACACACTTGGGCTGCTTCCCCATCTTGGCTATTGTAAATAATGCTGCTATAAACATAGGGATCCATGTATCCCTTTGAGTAAGTGTTTTCATATTTTGGGGGTAAATACCAGGACTGCGATTACTGGATCATAGGGTAGTTCTACTTTTAACTTTCTGAGGAGCCTCCATACTATTCTTCCCAATGGCTGCACCAGTTTGCATTCCCACCAACAGTGCAAAAGGGATCCTTTTTCTCCACATCCTCACCAACACTTACTGTTTCTTGTGTTTTTTACTTCAGCCATTCTGACAGGTGTGAGCTGGTATCTCACTGTAATTTTGATTTGCATTTCCTTGATGATGACCAATGTTGAACATCTTTTCACATGTCTGTTTGGCCATCTGGATGTCTTTTTTGAAGAAACGTCTGTTCAGGCTTGCCCATTTTTTAACTGGGTTACTTGTTTTTTGGGTGTTGAGTTGTATCAGTTCTTTATATATTTTGGATACTAACCCTTTATGGGATAGGTCACTTGCAAATATCTTTTCCCAATCAGTAGGCTGCCTTTTAGTTTTGTTGACTGTTTCCTTCATTGTGCGGAAGCTTTATATTCTGATGCAGTCACAATAATATATTTTGGCCATTTTTTATAAAGTTAAAAATAAACACTTACCATATGACTAGCAATCTCAACCTAGGTATTTAGCCCAGTGAACTAAAAATGTACTTTCACACAAAAATCTGTTCACATATATTTATAAAAGCTCTATTCATAAATGACCAACCTAGAAACAACCTTAACATCCTTCAACAAGTGAATGAATAAACAAACTGTGATATACCCTCACAAAATACTACTCAGCAATAAAAAGGAACAAGCTACTGATATAGAATTACTTAAAAAGATCTTGAAAGCATTACATTGAAAGAAGCTAGTCTCAAACAGTTACTGTATGATTCTATGACATTCTTAAAAGGACAAAGCTATCAAAACTAAAAATATATCAGTAATTGCCAGAAATAATAATGGACAAGAAGTTTTTTGGGAGGTTACACAATTGTTGTATATCCTGATTATGGTAGGAGTTTTAAAAAACCTATATATATGTGTTGAAGTTCAGTGAACTATTCATTAAAAGAAAGTCAATTTTACTATATGCTAATTTTTAAAATAAAAATTTTTTTAAGTAAATGTAAAGGTTAAAAAAACTACTAACAAGTGATTTTCATTAATATAAAGAAATATATCACTAACAAGTACTTCATTAATACACAGAAAGGTTTTGCTTATTTATTCAACAAATATTTTTAAACTATGGACAATGTGTCAAACCCAGTTGTAGGAAATAAATATTAAAAAGCTGAACAGAACGAATATGTTTTGTCTGTGGAATGGACATGAATTGGGGGAGACTAGATGTCAGACTGTAGTAGGTTACATAGTGTTCCCTATGTTCCCAACATTCATGTCTATCTAGAAGATTTAAAAAAAAAAAGCTGAACAGAAATTATATAACAGCATTCAGAGTTTGATAAACATACTATGTACCATTATCTTACTAAATCCTCACAATTACTCTTAAAGGTGCATATTATTTATTATTCTGTCTTTATCAACGTAGAAACCAACTCAGAGAAATTAAGTAATTTGCCCAAAGTTAACAGTAAGTATTTGAGCTAGAAATTAAACATAAGTGTGTCTAATTCAGTGTCTGGCCAAACAGTAGATATTTAATTAATGTTGAATGAATGAATACATGCAAACTCATGCTCTATGATATCGTGCTGCTTTCTAAAGATTTTTTTTTTTTTTTTTTTATTTATTCATGAGAGACAGAGAGAGAGACAGAGGCAGAGGGAGAAGCAGGCTCCCAAGGAGCAGGGAGCCCGATGCGGGACTCGATCCCA